AGTCGGCTATTAATTTCGTTGAAAGAAAAAAGGAGAACAAAAGGCTGTTTCACTATGTAAGCAGAACCTTAAGCCGATGCAGGAAACAAGGTAATTTTACCCTTTAGAAAAATTAGCACTTAAGCTTTTAGTAATGGCTTCAAAGAAGCTTTAAACATTACTTTCAAGCGCACAACGATTATAGTTGCTTAACAGGAACACCCACTTGAAATCCTTGTACAACAAGGAGACTTATCTTGGAAGGAATAGCAAGATGGGCAGTGGCCTTGGGCCAGGTACGAACTTGGAGTTCAGGCCGAGAGAACAGAGCAATTAAGGGCCAAGTTTTGGCCGACTTTGTGGCGGAATTCACGCCGGAATCCATCGAACATCAGGCTCCGTTGAGCCGAGATGAACGATGTCCAAGCAAACAAGGAGAAGCCCAGCCAAAGATAAAAGAACAAGGAAAAGAAAAACTAAGACCCTGCAGCATATACATCGGCGACTCCTTTCGCCTATTTGTCGATGGGAGTTCAAACCGGCAAGGAGCGGGGGCAGGAATAGTGTTAATATCTCCTGGTGGGGAGATATTGGAACAATCTATTCGATTAGGTTTTAAGGCCTCAAACAATGAGGCAGAATACGAAGCACTGATTGCAGGACTGAAGCTAGCAGTGGCAGCAGAGGCAGATGAGGTAATAATTTTTTGTGATTCCTAACTTATAGTAAATCAAACAACAGGAGAGTTTGCAACCCGAAATGATAGGATGTCGGCATATGCAAAGGAGGTCATCAGACTGGCAAGCTTGTTTCGTAATTGTCGACTTCTTCAAGTTAGCCAAGATGATAATAACCACGCCGACGCGTTGGCCAACTTGGCAAGCTCAATGCAAACTGGAAAAACAAGAACAATAATGATTGACTATCTGTCAAGCCCGAGCATAGAACAGCCGATCACAGAGCAAGAAGCAATGTGTGTGGACCTGGGTCCAAGCTGAATGGATGCAATTGTTGCATTCCTGAAAGAGGGAAAGCTACCAGAAGATCATAAGGAGGCACACAAGATCAGATTGAAATCAGCAAGATTCAGCCTGATAGCAGATGGACATCTCTACAGAAGGTCCTTCACAGGACCCCTTTTAAGGTGCGTACACCCTTTGCAGGTTGAAGATTTTCTATACGAGATTCATGAAGGGATTTGTGAAAGCCACGCTGGGGGCAGATCACTAGCTCACAGGGCCATTACCCAGGGGTATTGGTGGCCCTACATGCAAAAAGATGCAGAAGCCTACGTGAAGAAGTGTGAACAATGCCAAAGGTTCGCACCATTGATACATCAGCCAGCTGCTGACCTGAACCCTGTATCCAGTCCATGGCCATTTGCTCAATGGGGCATGGATCTCGTTGGACAGTTGCCCCAAGCAACTGGGCAAAGGAAGTACTTGCTGGTAGCCACAGATTACTTCACAAAGTGGATAGAAGCAGAACCTCTTGCCAAAATCCGAGATGTAGACGTCAAGAATTTCATATGGAGAAACATCATCACCAGATTTGGCATTCCAAGGGCAATAGTTGCCAACAACGGAACGCAGTTTGATAGCAAACTCATCAAGAACTTCTGTGCAAAATTCAAGATAAAGAATTACTTTTCAACACCAAGTTTTCCCCAAAGCAATGGACAAGCAGAAGCATCCAACAAAGTAATTTTGGATGGAATAAAAAAGAGGCTGCAGGCAGCAAAAGGAAAGTGGGTAGACAAGTTGCCCAATGTACTCTGGGCATATCGGACTACGCCGAGAAGATCAACAGGGGAAACCCCCTTTGCCATGGCTTATGGCACAGAAGCAGTCATCCCACTAAAGATCGGCATCCCAGGGATCAGAACCCAAGGAGTAGAGAATGGGACAAATGGCATACTTCTAGCCCGAGATTTGGATCTCTTAGAAGAAAGAAGGGAGAAAGCTGCAATTCAGCTCACAGCATACCAGCAACAACTTGCTAGAGCTTACAACAAGAAGGTTAATCCAAGAGATTTTCAGATCGGTGACCTAGTTCTAAGAAAAGTTGTTGGCAACAAAAAGGACCCCAGAGAAGGCAAGCTTGGACCAAACGGGGAAGGACCCTACAGAATCACTTCGGTATTGGGCAATGGAGCATACCAACTTGAAGACAATGAGGGCAAAACATTGCCAAGACCCTGAAACACTTGTAATTTGAAATTTTTCTATCATTAGATGTTCTTTGTTATTTTTTACCGACATCATCAAAATTTTAGCAGAGTTCTCCAAAGACTTGTAAATTGTCAAGAGATGCATAATAATTGTTTCTGAGTAATGAGAACCCAAGTGAAACTCAGGTTCACATTGGGGGCAGAGAGAAGAAAGTAATGCTTAACGCTTGTTGAAATTTGTAACAATTTACAAGTTGAAGTTAAACTAAAGTAATGCTTAACGCTTGTTGAAATTTGTAGCAATTTACAAGTTGAAGTTAAACTAAAGTAATGCTTAACGCTTGTTGAAATTTGTAGCAATTTACAAGTTGAAGTTAAACTAAAGTAATGCTTAACGCTTGTTGAAATTTGTAGCAATTTACAAGTTGAAGTTAAACTAAAGTAATGCTTATTGTTGAAATTTGTAACAATTTACAAGTTGAGGTTAAACTAAAGTAATGCTTAACGCTTGTTGAAATTTGTAGCAATTTACAAGTTGAAGTTAAGCCGAGATAATTGTTTATCTTCACTAAATTTGTAGCAATTTACAAGTTGAAGTTAAGCCGAGATAATTGTTTATCTTCACTTGTTGAAATTTGTAGCAATTTACAAGTTGAAGTTAAGCCGAGATATTTGTTTACCTTCACTTGTTGAAATTTGTAGCAATTTACAAGTTGAGGTTAAACTAAAGTAATGCTTAACGCTTGTTGAAATTTGTAGCAATTTACAAGTTAAAGTTAGGCAAATATATTGCTTAGCACTTGTTATAACTTGAGAAAAGTTTATAAAAATTAAACCGATATATGTTTATCCTTGTCGAAACTTATAAGCAATTTTTACAGGACAAGTACAGGCCGAGGTAAATTACCAGGTGGCATAACCGAGGTATGTTACCCCGAGAAGATTGCACAAAGAAGAAAGAGTACATATGATATATGCAAAATATTCTAAGTATAGAATCACACGAAGACAAAGAAGAAAAGACAGGAGTACAAGCATGCAATAAAAGAGAAAAGTTGTATTAACATTCAGAGTAAAAAGGGGGGCACATCGGCCATACAAAGAACATACATTGTTCCCTATGATTAAGAAAATACAAAGAAAACATAAACAGCTAGGACTCCTCCCCAACAGCTGATTGAGTGTGAAGATCAGACACCACCTCGGCCTCTTTCTCTGCTGCTATCTCGGCGTCAATTTCTTGAAGAGTTTCTTCAACAATCTTGACCTCAGAAGGGATGTCGGCTGGTGTGATGTCGGGAACAGCTTCATGGATAACTTCATCACCTTCCTCATCCTGAGTCAAGTCTAGAACTTGCTCATTCTGAGGAGGGGACTTAGCCCCATCAGCATTTTTTGATTTTCTAATCAAACCATTGTCCTCTTCCTCCTTGGCCTCATCCTCAGCATCAGATTCGCCTATATCTTCACTTGGAGTTGGGGCAGGAGGAAATGGCAAGGGAATAGCATCATCCTTCTACAGTGGAGAGTCATCAGGAATGTTAAGTTTTGTAAGAAGGGACATCCAACCAAGGGTAAAACCCTTGTTGCATGCCTCCTTCACTTGTTTTTCGTAGGCCTCAGTGACGTCGGCCATACCCTGTGAATATGCCTTTTCATCGGCGTCTTTGATTTCAGCTTCTTTGGTGGCCAGGGCCTCCTGAAGCTCTTTTTCAGCTTGAGCCATCTTTTCCTCGGTTTCTCTCCTTTGAGATTCAGCCACCTTTTTGATAGCTTCAACATCCTCAGCTTTCTCTTCGGCAATATTCTGGGCTTTAATTGCAGCTTCGGCTTGATCCTCCAGCTTCTTCATTTTTGATTCAAGGCCTTTATTGACCTTTTGAATAGAAGAGAACTCTTTTTTCATATTGGCCAGCTTTTGCCGATTCTCAAAAGACTGTATTGAGAATGAATGGGCATGCTGGATGGCCTGAAAGAAAACGAAGATATTAAAAGATATTCAAAGTGTGAGATAAAGAGAAAGAAAAATTTGCCAAGAAGAAGACATTTACCTGAACAGAGTGCTGTAACATCAGGGCATAATTTTCATACTCGCTGTACTTGGCGTTCCGCTCCAAGTCGCCTGGGAGAAGTAAGGCGGTACTAAGTGCAACGCTGACATTAATATCATCAGCACTGTCACTTGCCATTACAGGCTTATCCTCTAGGGTGATCTCGGGGGCCCAGGGGACAGCTGGTTTCTTTGACCCCGAAGTCGTTGCAGATGACCTCGGCTTTTTTTATTTGAAAGATTCAGAATGAGGTACTTCGGCAGACCTCTTCGAAGGGACAGAGGCAGTTCTTTGACTTGGAGCCAGTTGTAGGGCTGGCAAAGTGTCCTCAGTCTCAACCTGGGCCACTTTCGCCTTCGGTTGAGCTTTCTTTATTTTTTTTGGTTTTTCTGGAGGTTGGATTTGTGTTGGTTGTTCATCAATAGATGATGGAATGTCGGCTAGGAGGTCTTTAGCAACAGGCTTTGCACGACCCATCTCGGATGCAAAAACAAAACGTCGTCGACGTTTTCTTTGGGATGGTGGAATGAGGTATGGAGCCGAGGTCGACGGTTGTTCTGCTGGATCAGAGGTTTATCCTTGGTCTGTTCGCGATGATGAAGCAACTGGAAGAGTTGTAGCAGAGGAAGGAGATAAGCTCTTCTTCTTCTTTTTCTTGGGGACGTCAGGGAGAGCTGATTTGTATGTTGGGATGAAGTTGAGAAGCAGGGGTGCCTTTCGCCTCTGAACTGGCAGGTCCAGTAATTTCTTTAAATCCTTGCTGGGAACAAAGGATTGGCGAAAGTTTTTTGGCGGCTGAGGTAGAACTGCAAAAATAAAGGCAAAGCAGACATTAAGAAACAGATAAAATATAGAAGACTTTAAAAGTAAAACAAGTATGAATGCAGGGCTCTTACCATTACCCTCTATAAAGATTGATCGTGGGAGAGGGAAGAGATGGAGATCTTCGTCTGGGGCGAACTCCCAGTTCCGCGAGGTAATAAGATAATCATCACCAGCTCCCTTGTTGGAGTCTAGGAGGTCGGCTATAATTTTAAATTCTATGGATCTCGGCTTAAGGTAGTAAATGTAACCTTTTTCTTTCAAGTTAAGGCCACACATGGTATAGCAGTATTGGATGTCGGCAAGGGTGATCCTAGCGTTTTCTCGTTTAGCTAGGGCTATAATACCAAAGATCACTCGATAGGAATTGATTGCCAGTTGCATGGGGTTCAACTTATAATAATGGAGAACCTCAAGAAAGAGAATGTTTAATGGAAGCCGAAGTCCACGCTCTATAAAGGCGGCTACAGGGAAGGGCATGGAATTTTCTGTAAGCATGATGGAGTCATCATCTCCAGCCAACCTCAGATTGACATCGGCTGGGATTAGGGCTGATCGCGGGTCGGTTTTGGCCGGGTGCGGGTCCAAACCGACCCGACCCGCACACATGCGGGTTTGAAAAAACAGACCCGCAACCGCCCGCAGTGCGGTTCGCGGGTTGTGCGGGCGGGTGCGGTTCGGTTTGCGGTTTGGGCTTTTTTTAAATTGGACTTAGTTATGATATTAATTTGAACAAATTTGACATGTTGGGCTACTTTTTAAGCATTTTTTTATTATTTATGGAAAAGTTATAAATTAAATTTCATGATAACATAAATGCCCATATAATGATATAATAAATTTTACATTCTTCCAAAATACAACCGGGTGCAGGTCAAAACCGACCCGACCCGCACACATGCGGGTTTGAAAAAACAGACCCGCAACCGCCCGCAGTGCGGTTCGCGGGTTGTGCGGGTGGGTCAGTTGGTTGTGCGGGCGGGTGCGGTTCGGTTTGCGGTTTGGGCTTTTTTTAAATTGGACTTAGTTATGATATTAATTTGAACAAATTTGACATGTTGGGCTACTTTTTAAACATTTTTTTATTATTTATGGAAAAGTTATAAATTAAATTTCATGATAACATAAATGCCCATATAATGATACAATAAATTTTACATTCTTCCAAAATACAAAAATAATTGATAAAACTAATTACAAACTAAAACATTAAAATTCACACTAAAATCAATCTCCATCCATCCATAATCCAAAGCTTACTTAAATTTTACATTCATCCAAAATACAAAAATAATAATAATAACTAGTCATCTCCATCCATCCATAATCTAAAGTTTACCTAAATTTTACATTCATCCAAAATGTAAAAATAATAATAATAACAACTAGTTATCTCCATCCATCCATAATCCAAAGCTTACCTATTAAT